GGATGGGGAGGTGAAGTTCTACACATAGTTGCAGTCAAATGGAGGCCTGTTCATCAGTGATGGACGTGGGCTTGAGCCAAGTCCAGCATGCAATGTCACCTTGGGGTTGTTACTTAGTGGATGAACTCTTCAAGGAACGATACTTTTGTACTCCATTGCTGCTGACTCTCACCTGATACCACAGGCCAGGACAAGCTTTTCAGTCCACCAGGGACTAATTGAAGGGGTCTGAAGGGGTGAGCCATCATTATCAGGGTATTTCTCAACATCACTTTTTAGACATCCTCTGATAACATCAAAGCATGACTATTTCTATCTGCTCGATAACACTGCTGTCTGGACCCGTAAACTAGGTAAGGAGATGAGTGTGTCAGTGTTGCAGGCGCCAACAACAGGCATTGGGTGACATGAGAGCATGGGAGCAGGGTGTCTGGCTTCTCTCAGATGGGACTTAGCTGTCCACACTTCACCAGTCACCCCTGGTGAGTGCTGCTTGTCTGGGTCACCTGCACTGACATGCTGGTGGATATGACTAGATACAGTCACTGTATGGCATGAGAATTAGATATTTTCCCTGTATGATCTTACTGTTAGGGCTTTTGGAAGGCTTAAATCACTACCAGTCTAGACTGACACCATTGATAACTGATATTCAATATCCTTTTATAATTTTTATGAAAAACAAATGACCAAGATACAGCGTTTAACTTTATTATTCTTTATTATTAAGCTGGAATAGCCTCAAAACAGCATCTATGTACTAATTGAACAGTACTAAAAGCTACACTTATAAAACTATTACAGCTAGTAAGTAAAAGTTACTAAGTAAAGATATATTTCTATAGCACAAAGAAATAAATACATACAAATTCAAAGTTTTAAAATTCAAACAATTAAACACAAAATATCAAACACTACCTCAACAGAGCAAAGAGATATTTCATATTTTAAGAAATAGTTTGACTTTTTGGCAAATATGCTTATTTTCTTTCTTGCCAAGATGAGAAGATTGATACTGCTTTGTATTTGTTCAATTAATCTGGGGCTACAGCCAGCGGCCAGTTAACTTAGTTTAGGATAAAGACTGAAAACAGGGGGGAAAGCTAATCTATCTTTAATCTAACTCTTAGTGAGAAAGCAACCGTATTTCCAAAACTTTGCTAATACAGACTAATACCAAAGGTGAGATAGGAATCTCTAAAATACTATATCAGAGATTGATAATCTTGACAAACTGATCTGATATATTAAGGGCAATTTCAGTCAATATTAGCCTGTATATTAGCATGCAGTAGCATATATGTTAGTGTAACTATTTTCTACTATGTCATTATCATTAATACACAATCAAAAAGTCTATAATCCCTAGAAACACACACAATTTAAAGAGCCAAATTCCTCCCCCTTTCCAGCTGTCTTTCGAGAACACTTGACTTGGACAACTCATCTGGTCTCACAAACCACACCAGAGAACATTCCCTTCGGAAGCACTCAATTAAAGCAGTAAACACGAGCTTCCTCCGGGGGGATCAGTCATAGGTGCTGAGGGCCCTGACAGTGACGTGAGAACACGCCTACAATGACATGACTTTTAGGTCTGTCGATGGGTTTTAATCAGCTCACTCATGCAAGTCTCAACGGCTGAACACAAACAGTGAGAGTGCGCCAGTGTAATTTTGTGGTATTGATACACTTGAGTCACTCCCAGACACTTTTATCCTCTCAAGGAACAGGAACAGAAGCAAACAGTCATCCGAGATCAAAGCGAAAGGGTAATGAAAGACAGGCGTTTGTCTAGAATACTCATGACATTACAGTACACTGCAAGACCGCCTTAATAGTCACAACTGCCTGTCAGAGGTGATGCTGACAAATGATTTTTATCTTGTGTTGTATAATGTATTTCCTGCTGAATCCTCTGACATCCCATCAGCTTTAACAAACACAGAAATCCTGACTCTGGTGTCACATCAATTATCACAATTATTTGCACTGATTGCGTTTGCCTGCAGGGAGCCAACATTGTGGCAGAAGTAATTTTACAGACAATTTCACGATAAACATTCAATGTAAGTTATTCTCTAATTACTAATATCCTTAGTAAAACAAGCCACAATGTACTGCATGTTATCACTGACATCACTGAGGTAAATACAGCTGCACAGGGGGTTCAACAGGATGCATAAACAGGATGCATTACTGTACATCCCAGATGTTTGTTACGGTGTTAAGTGGCATATGGGTATATAAGTTTAAGAGTTTCCATGCCTTCAGTGCAACAAGAGGCCCCTCTTACATAACTATATTGTTGACATTGTTGATTTTAAGCAAACTGTAGAGGAAATTTGCAAGTTTAATAATGCACAACAACTGTAGGAAACATTCAAATCTCTTGATTGTTTTGCATTTTGTCCCTTTTTGTCCCTATAGCTACAGGCAATACTTGAAAATTTTTGGTAGAAATGAATCATGTTTTTAGTTTGATTTTAGGGAATCACTGTAGATTTCTAACAAAATATGTTGGAAAAATCAATTTTTACAAGTCAACAGCATATTATCAAGGTTGAATTTAGCTTTAAAAGTGACACATTTGATCTGGTGTTTTGTAATATCCAAATTTGACTCTGCTGAAACTAAAAAGTTACATATGTGTGCACTAAAATCTAAGAGCATATGTACTTGCTACATGTTTTATATTGCATAATACGCCATCACATATTCAGAGTGCGGTATTTAAATGTTCTGAAAATGAAATGTTATTTATTTAAAACAAAACCCTTTGGAACAACCGTACTAAAACTGTCAGATAAGCACAGCTTTGGGCTGTTTGTGCTGCAAGTATTAACACAGTCGGCTGGTCTTAAACTTGTGTATAACACAGATACACACAGTCTTACACACAGTACACTCTCATTACGTTCAGAGCTGGATGCGGCCCACATGGCTTGCCTTGTACTGTCAGTCACCGTGAGGTCGGCCCTCCCCGCCGAACAGCAGCTTACACATCACTTTCCCTCCAACCCTCCTGATATCAGCACACTGAAGCCTCTGGCCGACAACTTCCTGACACTGACGCTGTTGGTGTTCCACCATCCCAATGACTCAGTAGAACCACAGTTGTTTCCCATGACATTTCTGTAACATTGAGGATCAGTATCAGCTGAGCTGCTCGTACTCTCCGTGTCTTAACCTCCGTGTTCTGGCTCAGAGTGCTTTGTGCCGCAGCCCAAGTCTCATTTGCTGCTTTTGCAGACAATAAATTATTTAAATCTGTTTACATTCAGTGTCAGTGACATGAGGAATCGTTCTGAAATGAGAAAATGGGGGTAGCGCGACTTTACACAATGGCTCATGGTCACAGTTGTATAAATGTTTTGGATCATGATTCTGCTTGAACAGCTTGTTATTCAGGATGTCAGCTTAAAGTTCAGTTAGTGGGTGGTATCTAATCAAGCACAAACAACATCATTTTCAGTTTTTAAAATCTCTTTAAACCAAAAAATAACATCATTATCATCTGTAATGACACCTCTATGTACAAAAAGAGAAGGGGCTGCATGCTTTATACCCACAACTTGTGTATGAGGAGGCAATACCACACCCCCTGCTGAGTACACATGGGTGTCTGCCAACAATAACACATGGTGGTGCCAAAATAAAAAACACTTTATGCTGGCCACCTTGTATTTACTCCAGGTTGAGGTGGACCACCCCGGTGCTCAAGTCCACCAGACATTCCTAGCACATCAAGTGTTACCCATCAAATCATTACAGGTACTTTGTGGTAAGGAGGCTTTTATTTTCCCTCACTGAGTAAAGTGTTTTTATTAGATGAAAACTTAAAATGTTACATACGACATGGTTATCATCTGATGCGTTTATGTGTGGAAGAAAGGGGAAAACCTCAATTGTGAAAGTTTGTTTAGTCAACACGTTATTTCCTGGAAAGAAAAAAAACTTATGTCACAGTTATATCATAAGCAGGAGGAAATCAAGTTCATTATAATCCCTAGTGTAAACACATCTAAAAAAAGCCTCAACTCGATGTACTGGAATAAGAAAACAGCAGTAAAACTGTCTGCAATATGGGAATACAGTGTTTGATCTGCTAATATTCATACTCACAATGTTTGGTTTTTTACAGAAGCATGGACATTGCATCCATAGGTTAGAGCTTGATCTCTTTCTTCCCTCCAGCTCAGAGGCTTAAAATAAATACAAACTCCGTGACAATAAAACAAAACAACAACAAATATATCCATAGTGTTCAGCACTATACAGGTTTACCAGCTCGCTTCATTCAGTTATTAACATAAGTATGAAATGTGCAAAATCAGAATGAAGGAATTTTACAGGCTACTTGATGGGTTGAGGTTTCGTATATTGAGCTTTAATTATCATTATTGACTGTGTGTAACAACTGAACCATCTCCAAGACAACTGAGCAACTCCTGCCACCAGGAAGAGCCAGGATATATGGTTTTTACAGCTATTAATATATTATCTTACAGGATTCTTACAAATAATACCCTATTGATATACATTTTTTGCGTTAGTTACATCACACTCATGTAGGGTTGAACTCAGGGTGACCTATGACTTCTACCAGTACCCAGTAACAGTCTTACAGTAAACAATAGTCAATCCAGTAGCTATAAAATGGAGCAGAGAAGAGAGGGTGCAAATACCTGCTACTGTATGTAACAGTGTCTCTCTCTTTCTGCTTGTGAGCCATCTGAATGTTATGTAATATTTTGAAGTACTCTTGTCTTATTTGGTGTACACAGTCTATAAGGGATTACCCTGCTCACTCTCCCCTCATAATCTG